GACATCTTCTTCGGATGCCCCCTGGACGCCTCCCACAGGAGGTGTTCCAGGCGTGTCCCACCGGGAGGAGGCCCAGGGGAAGACCCAGGACACGCTGGAGAGACTATGTCTCTCGGCTGGCCTGGGAGCGCCTAGGGCTTCCCCCAACAGAGCTGGAGGAGGTGTCTGCGGAGAGGGAAGTCTGGGAGTCTCTGCTTAGTCTGCTGCCCCCGCGACCCGGCTCCGGATAAAGCGGGAGACGACGAGTACGAGTACGATATTACTGTTTCATTAAGCTGCGGAGCCCCAGCTCCTGCTGTAGTTTCTTAGAGAAATGTCTTCTTACCAACGTTTCCCATCCCTAAATCTAACTCTACTGAAGGATCAGTAAATCTGATCCTAGTCTGTGATCAGAGGCTGCAGCTGCTCTGTTTCAATGAGTGACAGGAAGATGGACACACAGTTATTAAACCTTAACTGATCAGTTCATGAAAATATTGATGAAGTTAAGGTGCATCAGACAGAGCAAAGTCCATTGAAAGTTAAAGGTTTACATTCTCAGATGCATCTGTTTGTTTCATTATAAGCATGGTCCAACATCTGCAGAAAGCTAACAGGAGGAATCATGGAAAGAGAAAATGTAGGACTTCAGTAAGAAAAAAACTGCAGCAAGACATTCCTAGATTAAAAACTGTTTTCATGTATATAGAAGAAAATCCCAGCTTAAATCTTAGATAAGATTTTTGAAGAAAAAAAATGTTTAGGTATTTCTACAGGAGGATTTTGTTTTTACTATATTCACCACCAGTAAAACTGTCCCTCAATATTTCAATCTCTATTTGTTTTAAGTGTCACACTTCAATCTTTGAATTAAATACAATCAGATAAAAAGTGTAGCTCTTTAATTTAAAAGTCGTTTGATTCGACATATGAATTAAAACGGATTCAGAAAACTATCAAAAGCCCAAAATCAGGGACAAAACAAGCCTCTAGAGTCTGAACTGGGGACAGCTCATTCGTTCATTGATCATTTCTATAAAATCATTAATCTGAATTCTGGCTTCAGCTGAAATCAGCCTGACCCCTGCTGGACCAACAGGTGAACTACAGACACTTAGAAATACCTCCAACACTGTTTACCCTGAACTCACTGGAGACTGAATTAGTGGAAAAACATCCAGAAAAAACAAACTGTTTCATTAAAACGATGAAAAATGTGGATCAGAACATTTCAAAATGAGTCATTTCAGTTTAAAAACAGTTAAAACCTTTAGACAGAGCTCACCTCTTTGCAGCTGAAGGTTGGTCTGATTTAAAATCAATATGGAGTCCCTTTGACCAGTCACTCTTTAAGGAAACACAGCTGGGTTCTGGTTTGAGGTTCTGTTGGATCCTGAAGGAAAAACCCTGAATTCAGTCTTAGTCTAATAATGTATTTAAATTTAAACAGTGAAGCCCAGAACTCTAAAGTGTCCCACAGTGGCTCTAGTTTGAAGTGGATCCAAATATTCCTGGTTTCTCTGTAAACCGTAATTATGGATTATTAATTAGCTCTGATGATAATTAATAAGGGATGATGTTTGG